ATGCGGAGGGGGGGGGGGGGGGGGCGTGCCGGAAAATAAGTTGGTCGGGGCGGAGGGGTGTGCCGTGCCGAAATAAAAAGGGTCGGGCCGGTGGTGGGGGGGGGGATGCAGAGGGTGTGTGGAGGGGGTGTGCCGTGCCGGAATAAAGGGGTCGGGGCGGAGGGGTGAGCCGTGCCGAAATAAAGGGGGTCGAGGCGGAGGGGCGCGCTGGTTGGTGGAACGTGTGGGTGATGGCGGGGGTGCCGTGCCGAAATAAAGTGGTCGGAGCTCTAGACACACTGTGCAAGAGAATAAACGTCTCATTAAAGGAGTGGATCACCCCAGCGGCCACCCCCGCAGGCGCCAGCCCGTCTAGAATTCTTGCGTGTGGGCGTATGGATCACATGTCCGCTGAGGCGGACGGGGTTCGGCGCTGAAGGTTTCGTTTGTTTTTATGTTGCTCTTGGGGTCTTGGTGTGGTTTAAAGAGAAACGTTTCCGAGCGTGTAGAGACCAGGAATTCGCGCAGTTGCGCCTCGCCCGCATGCACGATGCGAACGGAAAGAAACCATTTTCCGGTGGGGGGCACTTCACTTTTTAGTTCGGTCTCACCCCCCTAACCTCCGATACAGCCTAGCGTATACAGTTAGTGGCCTCCGGCCTATGCCGCTACCGTGCCTCGAAGGCCTCCAGGTGGATCTCCGAGGAGCCTCCGGGAGTCTCTGGGGGGTCTCTGGGGGTTGTTGAAGCCGTCTTGGGTGGGGAAGGTCCTGGGCACCTGGCCCAGTACACCCTCGGAGGTAAAATCGCATGAAAGATAGCACCGTGAAGTTCAGCAGCCTTGCGCTCCACGGAGCTCACGCACCACGCCCTGGAAGTTCCGGCCGTCGGGAGTCCCGTCCCTGGACAATTGCCCATCGTTCTTCTTTCACACTTGCATGCGTTTTGCGGCACGCCATTATTAACGCGAAGCACGGTGGCAGGTAGGAAGTGGGATTATGACCAACATTTCTGGTTGAACATCAGCGGACGGAGACCCTGCGCAGCAGTGGGCTTGCCATCCACCCACACTGCATCTCCAATTCGGGGCTTGGTTTGTGATCGAGCATTTCGTTGTCCCTGTGATGGGCTGCTGGTTTTCATCCCGCGGATCTTCCGACCACCGAGGCCGCTCCCATTGTCGCCCTCGACGAGTGCTTTGTGCTCTGCCAGCAAAACCCGCTCTGCGACGGAGTGATCGTTAGCAAGGGACTGGAGCACACGGAGTGCTTCCAACGCGCGTGGGTGGATCCGTCCAAGTGCGTGGAGAGCGAGGCCCTTGACCTCTGGACCTTGGGTGCAGCCGCGAAGAGCCCTGCCAACCCTGAGCCTCCACCCAGCGGTGAGGGGTTGGACCGGCTGGTGGGCGTGATCGATATGGTCAGGCAGGACGGTTTCCAGGATCTCGACTTGAGAAGTTGCGCGTTGGTTGGTTCGGCGGGGAGTTTGCTTGGCCAAGGCGCGGGCGTGGAGATTGACAGCCACACCGCCGTCATCAGAGTCAACCGCCTGCCAACCGAGAGTTTCCACGCCGATTTCGGGATGCGGACAGACTTCCTCTTCCTCAGCAAGGAGTGGGGCGGCTTGATCGCTCCGACATGCGCGCGCAGGGGGTGAAGGGGGAGGAGGAGGAGGAGGAGGAGGAGGAGGAGGAGGAGGAGGAGGAGGAGGAGGAGGAGGAGGAGGAGGAGGAGGAGGAGAAGGAGGGGAGGAGGTAGGAGGAGGAGGAGGAGGAGGAGGAGGAGGAGGAGGAGGAGGAGGAGGCGGAGGAGGAGGAGGAGGGGGTGGAGGAGGAGGAGGAGAGGAGGAGGAGACGAGGAGGAGGAGGAGGAGGAGGAGGAGGGCGTGGAGGAGAGTGAGGAGAGAGAGAGGAGAAGGAGGAGGAGGAGAAGAAGGAGGAGGAGGAGGAGGCAGAGGAGGAATCAAAGGACAGGGAAGGAGATGCAGGAGGAGCAGATTGAAGTCGTGCTCCCCGGCGAGGAGTGGAGTGGTGGTGGCAAGGTTGCCCTGATGGGCGGGGGCGAACCCGAAGTGGTCGAGTGCCATGACGCCAATGGCTGCGACGTCGCGGCCATCATTGTACGGTCCGTGGGGAGAAGGAGGGGGAGGGGGAGGAGGAGGAGGAGGAGGAGGAGGAGGAGGAGGAGGAGGAGGAGGAGGAGGAGAAGGAGGAGGAGGAGGAGGAGGAGGAGTTTCTAAAGTGACGGGGTGCACTGCCTGGAGGAATAAAGGTCCATGGGCATGTGGCTCAAGTTTACATGCCCCGTGCGTGTGTGCACTTACTTTATACGCAGATTCGTCTGGACACTCCTGTAAAAAAGCACTTGGAACATTTGCTGGATAATTTGGTACAGGATGTGTTGGCATTCGATACGCGGAGGCGTTGGGCGGAGGACGGGACGGGGGGACATGCGCACTGCCCCCACCCGTCGAAGTAGCTTCCCGAGCCGTGTCGCCATCTTCCCACACCGTCCGCCCTTATCCGACCGAAGATTGCAAGACGGAATGGGGGGGAGAAGGGGGGCAGTTCCCTGAGATATCTCGAGGAAGGCAAGGAGGAGAGCGAGGGATAAGAAGGGAAGGGAGGTCGAAGGTGATCCAGACGCTCAAACGCGCTAGAGATCATCAGAAGATCTACGGACATGGCCGTCAGCTTGGACCCAAAGCAGTTGGGTGGTTGCACTATCCAAACGCATCCTAGGTGGTGCAAAATAGGTGGGCTAGTACACATAAAGAAGTTGAAGTTGTCAAGCCCACTGCTTGCGCAAACACCCCCACCCTCACACCCATCACTTGTTCGGCAAAACCCGTTCGGCCAAGATTGCAGGCATTGTTGGCACGTGCTAGCGCGTTTCTACGACCGCGCTGGCGCGCTCATATTCGCCCGCAGAGCGACCAGTTGGTTTGGCACAACTGATGCGGCCGCGATGAGGCTTACCGATTGGAAGATCCCAGCGATTCTCCAAAGCCGCGCTGGTGCGCGTGCACTTCAGTGAGGATCGATGACTCGGGCGGGCGCGCTACCACGATGACGTCGACAACGGCGGCAACGATGATGATATTAGCAATGGTGGTGGCGATGGTGACGATGACGACGGTAAGGCCAATGACGGCTCCGATGCCGGTGACGACGATGACGATGATGATGTCCATGTGCCCGCGCTAAAGGTTAGCGTGCTGATGATGGCAGTCATGGCGGCGATCGAAGATGACGATGACGGCGGTGGTGCGATGGCGTTGATGTGGCTGATGAGGAAATGCGCGCGCGGAAATTCAATGCATCTGGCAGGGTCCCTGTCGGAAAAAGCGCTGTGCGCTTTTATTTGTGAGTGAAGAAGTATGTGTGGACATGTCTCGGATACCGAGTGGTTTTGAAAAGATGTGGAGACGCGCGGCTGGCGGCGCGCGCATGTGGCCCGCATGTTGTGCGCATGATAGATCAACGCGGATTCACCGTGTGATGATATGAACATTCGGGTTTTGGACAAGATTGCTGAAGCCAGGTGTTTCTTCCATGAGTTAAGCTTGTGCGCGCGGGCAGTCAACCTGACAAGGTTGTTGACGAAAACCTGTTGGATTCTGATGTTTTGTTGCAACGGTTACAAAGGAATGTGTTTTGTATAAGTTTCGATATGCGCACTCGTGTGCGCTTTGATGTGTTGTGCCAGACATGCTTGCGACATGTGTTTTGACAGCGAGTGTGCGCGCATGGTTCTCTCTGACAGGCATGACGAGGGGTCCGATGCCAGTTGGGTTTCGATCGTACGATTTCGCATGGGAAGTGAACGATGAGGCAGGACCATTTAGAATTTCCAATGCGAAAACGTGAGCAGATAACCCCAGGCGCCCGGGGGGGTAGAGCCCCCGTCTTGTGTAGTAAAGAGAATATATGTGATGCAACTCTTGTGGTAGAATTAGTTTGTGTCAACAATGAGCTGTCAATTCCAATGCTCGCGTAACCATCCCACATTTCCACTCGCAACGTGCTTCAGCTTCCTAGAACCGGTTCGGCTGCGACTGCGGTTGTCGATTGGAACTTGCGGGCGCACTGGCGCGCGCCCGCTCGCGCGCCGGTGGGCCAGTCAGTTTGGCACGAATGATGCGGCCGCGATGGCGCTTACCGATGGGAACATCCCAGCGCATCTCCACGGCCACGCTGACGCGCAGACACTTTTGTTCCGGGCCGACGATTCGGGAGGGCGCGATACCATGATGACGTCGACAACGGTGGCAACGATGGTGATGTTAGCGATGGTGGTGGCGATGCTGACGATGACGAAGACGACGGCTCTGGTGATGACTCCGACAGTGTTGATGGTAGTGGTGATGGTGTTGGTGACGATTATGGCAATGATGACGCCGACGACGATGATAGTGATTGCGTGGATGAGGATAATGAGAATGTGCGCGGCCGCAAAAATCGAACCATTCGGATACGATTTCAACGCGCACGCTGGGAAGCGTGCGCGCGTGGTCTGCATCGTACTCGTTGACATAGTTGGTGGGCGCACGATCGTGGTTGAACATTCGCGAGAAGCGCGCGCAAGTGGCCCAGATGATCTGATTTGACAGTTGCTGCTACGAGTGCGCGCCGGCACAATTCGCATCTGCTTGTGCTGAAGCGCTAACCAAGAGTTGATGATCTGTTCTGGAAAGTCATGTTTTGAAACTGCGGAAAACAATTATATGTCAATGTTGTCGTGCTCGCGCGGCGTCTCGCGCGTGTGGACTGTGTGTGGCGTGCCGGTTTCAAGGGGTTCGTGGAACATGATCTTTTTAGTAAGCGAGTGCGAGCGAATGGTATTATATGATAGGGACGAGGGGGGGATCAATCCCGAACAGGCTGGGATGGTCTGATTTGATACGGAAGATGAACAATGAGGCAGCTTCACATGAAAATTGTGTGATCCCATGGGGGCGATAACCGAGGGGGAGGGTGGTGGAATCTATTCGTTATGAGAGGCAACATACGTGGTGCAAGCTAGCTGCTGCAAGATGTCTGGTGCAAGTTTGCGGCACCATGTCGTAAGCATGATATATGTATATATGTGTATATGTACATACATATGTATATATATATATATATGTATATATTGGCACTGTATGTTTAAGATCCCCCAGCTTGTCGCCCCGGAGCGAAAGCCTTGTCTTACAGTACGCGGACGAGGTCTTGTCGCATTGTACACGGACGGGGTCTTGTCTCATTGTGCACGGACTAGGCGGTTTGGTGGGGGGGAAGGGGAGTGGTGAGGTGATGAGGGAGGGTGGAGGGTGGAGTGTGAGGGAGGGTGGAGAGGCAATGGAGGACGAGGAGGGAGGACGGTGAGGGCTGATGGAGAGGCGATAAAGCACGAGGAGGGAAGGGGGGAAGAGCCGGGAAGGAGGGGGAATCGGGGGAGGTGGAGGAAGGTGAAGGCGAGGAAGGGGAAGAGAAAGGGGTTGGGCAGACAGGGAATGACAACGAGGAAGGGCATGAAGGAGAAAGTGGAAGAGGAGGGAGGAAGAGGGCGAATGGAGGCAACGGGCTGACCCAGTAGGTCCTAAAAGCCCCGCCAGGGCCAAAGCGGCGCAGTCTGCAGAGCTGCACCCGGCGACGGCGGCGACGAGGGATCGCGGGAACCGCGGGCCCATTTCCTCTACTAGCCCTCTGCGAACGGGCGGGCGGGCGGCGGGCGGCGGCGGGCGGGTCGTGACTTTCATCGACCCCTTATGGATTCTCTCCTGCAGCTGGAGCCTGTTAAGTCCAGGGTTTTGTGTTGGAGACGGGTGCTGTGAAGTATTGGGTGTTGTTTTGGAGACGGATGCTGTGGAGTATTGGGTGTGATGGTGGACATGGAAGCACGGTGGACGGGCGGCGGGCGGCGGCGGGGGTGGACGGCGGGCGGGCGGCGGGCGGCGGGCGGCGGGCGGGTCGGCATTTCGATTGCACTCTCAATGATTCTCCCTTGCAGCGGGATGCTGTTGAGTACTGGGTGGAGTGTTGGACACGGACGCCGTGGATGGAAGCACGGCAGACGGGCGGCGGCGGGGGCGGTCGGCGGGCGGGCGGCGGGCGGCGGGCGGGTCGGGATTTCAATAGAAAACTTAAGGATTCTCGCAGCGGGATGATGTTCAGTACTGGGTGGAGTGTTGGAGACGGTTGTTGTTGAGTATTGGGTGGTGTGTTGGAGACGGATGTTGTGGAACATTGGGTGCGGTGGTGAACATGGAAGCACGGTGGACGGACTGCGGGCGGCGGCTGATCACCGAGCACCGCTCGCTGTTATTCCTGTGCCAGAACGGGAGGAAGCGAAAAGGCACCGGGCAACGCAACGCAAAGCAAGTGTCGAACAGGGATCGCCCCGTGCAACGCAAGGCACAGCAATGGTTCCTCCGAGAACTTCCTTCGGGAGTTGTCGTGGACCCCAATACTCATAGATGGGTATAGTCGCATGCGAGCGGGCACCACCAGCAGAACGACGATCATGGAACTTGGCACTGCCCAACTTGTGTGGGAAACGCAAGGAATTGTGGATGGTAAGAAAAGTATGCGGGGGGATCTTGAATGAACTATACCTCTGTATATATGCAACTATGGTGTGCAGGATATGTAGTGCAGTCTATGCGGCGCAGGCTATGTGGTTAATTACTGAAGCGCGAGCCAGCGCACGGGGCGGACCCGAGACGGGCACAGTCGGACACTTGGCAAAAACCCGAGACACCCAGCCAGCGCAGTGGATTGGCCCGAGGCGAGCACGGGCGGACAATGGGCGAAAACCCCAAAAGCACCCAGCCAGCGCACGGCGCGGGCAATAGGCGGGCACCAGGCGAAAACCCCAACCAGCGCACGGAGCGGGCAGTAGGCGGGTACCTGGCGAAAATCCGGAAGACTTAGCCAAATATTTGGGAAACAGGGGTGCGTTCTGAGTGAAACATTGTTCGGGGAACAGCATCCAGAATCCATGGTAACAGCCGTCTGAGTGGAGGGCGAACCTCCATGTTCGGAGGATTGAAAGCCTCCGAGTGGGCAGAAGACCAGATCGGTTCGCACGGCGGAAATATTCCAGGTCAGACCTGGAGCCGTGCAATACTGGTCGCATGAAGGAGGCGTGGGGCCCCACGCACACCTTGGTGGGCTGCCAGCACGCAAACATATCGAGAATGGTCTCCCTGGGCTTCAGCTCTCTTCATGGCATGCTGGCGAGCACAGGGCTGCAGGCGTTCTTCACATTCTTGCCCGTCTGCGGCGAGCTCATCCTCTACGGCTTCGGGGGCCTGGACGTGGCCGACGGCCATCCAATGCAGCACGACAGTATTGATTTATACGACGAACACGTAATTGAAGGCATGGCGGCTGACGGAAAGTGGGATGAGATTCCATGGAGGACGCAGTTCTTGGAATTTGAATGGATGCGTTCGAACGCAGCCCGAGTGGACAGGAGGTTTTCCTACGCGTGAGCCACCAGCATAGCACACGTCTGATACTTATCATATCATCGCTCCGCGCTCTCTGCCAGCCCATGACTATGAAAGAGGAACTACTACCATTCAGATTTCAAGATATGTAAAGACCGCGAAGTGGAGTCACAGAAGTTGAATGGACTCAATTGACAGATCGATTACGGTCGGGAAGTGTTGGTTAGCGTGTCGTTCCGCTGGTTTTGGCCTACCACGCTTCGGCGCGGCACGTTCACCACGTTCGTGTCCCCGAGCGACAACGTACCGAGCTTTCCCAGCCCCCCGCCCCACCATCCGCTTACAACGCGTAGCGTGTCGCCAGGACCGCCGCCGCGACACGCTAAGCAAATGTTATGATCATATATTCGCACGAGCCTGCCAGGGGACGGACAGAATTGCCCCAAAAAAGTCTTCGCGTATGTTGTCGTTTGAGAGGGGTATCTTGTGAATTCGTGACATCTTGACCCCAGGGGCGCGAGGAAATCCGGCCATCAGTTGCCGAGGGCCGACAAACAGGAAACGTGAGACGCCCCGGGCGAATGCTGGAGTAGCGATGTTGCATGGGAGGTCGTTACACAATCGGTTCCCAGATCGCACCCCAAAAGGTCCCCGAGAGAGGGGGGACAGGAGTGGAAGTAGGGAGGGAGGGAGAGGCGGGGAACGTGGGGCGGGGAAGGGCAAGAGGGTGACAGGGTCGGAATACCCGAACAAAGAAACAAACAAACAAACAAATAACCAACATCCGCGGAGCGAGCAAAACTAGTGTAGCACAACGTGTCGTTTGTTTACGCATGCTTATTTAATCGCTTCGCTCATTCCGCTGGCCCATATTGTCGCACCGTTGTGGGCTAGCCGAGTTTTGGGGCCTCTTGGGGGCCGTTTTTGGGCCTCTTGGGGCCTCTTTTGGGCCTCTTGGGCGCCTCTTGGGGCGTCTTGGGGGCCTCTTGGGGGCCTCTTGGGGCCTTTTTGGGGCCTCCTGGGCGCCTTCTGGGGCGGAGGGCTCGATGTTTCAGTTCTCGGTTCTCCTCTTGAGCCCCCGTCTTGGGGCCTCTTGGTCCGTCTTGGGCGGCACTTGGGCCGTCTTGGGGGCCCTCCTGGGCCGTTCCGGGGCCGTCTTGGGAGCCTCGTGGGCCGTCTTGGAGCGGTCTTGGGGGCCTCTTGGGCCGTCTTGGAGCGTCCGGAAACCGAAAAAGCCAGAACGCAAAAAACATCGAAAAAAACAATGAAAATCAACGATTTTGGCCTCTTGGGACCCTCTTCGGAGGCCTCTTGGAAGGCCCTTGGGGCGTCTGGAGGCCTCTTGGGCTGTCTTGGGGCCCTGTTGGGCGTCTTCGGGCGATCTTTGGCCGTCTCGGGGCCCTCTTGGACCGTCTTGGAGGCTTCTTGGGGACCTCTTGGCCCGTCCTGGGGCCCTGTAACAGGGCTCCGGCATCTCTGGCCCGACCTTGCCGGGGACTTGCCGGGACCTTGCCGGGGACTTGCCGGGACCTTGCCGGGGACTTGCCGGGACCCTGCCGGGGTACTTTTCGTCCGGGGACCCCCAGGGGCCGCCCCGCGCGCGCGAACTATATAGAAATACTGTTAACCAGGTACCGGAGATCTTAGCACGCCCTGGCCCGTTGGGCCGGCGAATTTGCCTCTCGAGGGCTTCCAGGGAGCATGCTGAGATCCTTCTGGCCCTTTTGGAGGCCTGCTGAGGATCTGTTTCGGTTCTCAGGGGTTGTTTGTGGGGGATCACGGGGTGGACTTAGCTTGTCCCGGAGCCGTCTGGGAGGAGTCTTCGGCGGTCTTGGGCCAGTCTTATGGCCCCTTGGGGACCATGTTGAGCCCGTCGCGGGGCAGCCGTGGGGACGCTCTGCGGCCGATAGCGTGCGGACCTTGGGGCCGTCCTGTGGCTGGCGTAGGGCCCTCTGGGAGACCTCTCTGGCCGTTAGGAAGCTTCTGGGGCGGCGCTTGACGTGTGCAGCCCACCCTGGGCCGTCAAGGAGGCACGGCCATTGATTTTCTTTCTCTCTGACTTGTTGGAAGCTCTATGACTTTTGGGCATGTTTTCGAATTTTCTGGCCGTGTAGAGAATTCGGAGGCCATCTGGGGGCGCAGGTTTACTTTCTTAGTGATTATTGAGAGCGTCTGGGCGTCTGGTGGGGTCTTGGTTGGAGCCACTTCGGGCAGGTCTTGGCCGTTTAGGGGGGCGTCTTTGGGAGCTGTTAGGGTTATCTCAGGACCCGCCAGCAGGCCGTTTCGACCCCTCCTCCCGCCTCTCATCGTCCTTGTCCTCTTTCTGCTCCTCCCCCTCCTCCTCCTCCTCCTGCTGATCCTCCTTCTCCTCCTCGCCCTCCTCCGCTTCCTCCTGCTCCTGCTCCTCATCGTCCTCATCCTCCTCCCATTAAGATTAACGCAGTCAAAGCCACGTGGCTCCCCCAGCAAGCAGGGCTGGACGAGTCGTGATCACAGCGTGGAAGCCAAGCGCGCACGGAGTCTTCCAATTCAAATTGCACGTTCGAATTTGCGACATCGGAAGATCTCTTGATGTTGTTGTTGGCACATTGCCAGTTTCCGTGTACAGTTTTGCAATGCGCGGACATGTCAAAGTCATTTGTCTGTTGCAGCTCTCAGAATTTGCACCCGCCGTGAAACGGTGGGCGTGTACGGGACAGGCATCCCGATACACCCATCTAGTGGCCTGGATGGCGCTGGCTCCCCCAAAGTGCACCTCGTCTACCAGAACCGCACTCACGCAACTAAGTCTGAACAAGTTTGGAATGTCACGCGCGTCTGTGTACGCATGCTTGCAGTATGCACGGCGTGTGCGGGCAGAGAGTCCGGAAAGAGCGCACGACAAGTGCGCCAACTTCTGCGTCACGTACGCAGGGCGCACGGCACGGCGCATACGAGTACGTATTGTAACGGAGGATGTGTTCGTCGCGTATCTTGTTGTTTGCGGCAAACCCCGCCACCGCGCCAGCGCAGCGGCGCAGCGTGAAGGAGATTGAGCTAAAGACGCACAGTGGAGCCTCCATGGGGCCTGAAGGCATCTCGGGGGTCTGTAGGGGACCTCTGGGAGGCCCCTTGGGGATCTCTTGGGCCTCTCGGGAGCGTCTTGGGGGCATATTGGAGGTAGCGGAGGCGAGCAAGGCTGTCAAGGCCAGCTGGAATTCCCCCTCGCGGGCCCCTCTTGGGGCCGTATTGGGGGCCTTTTGGGCAGTCTTGGAGGCTTCTTGGGCAGTCTTGGAGCACCCTTGGGCCGTCTGCAGGGCCTCCTGGGCCGTTTTGACGTCCTCCTGGGCCGTCCGTGGGCCCTCTTAGGACTTGATTGGGCTGTCTTGGAGCCCTCCCTGAGACCTGTTGTCCCGTCTTGGGTTTTTGGGAGATCAGACAGGGTAGTACTTTAAAACCTGGCACGATCCCAAGGAAAATCAATGTCTGTTGGCTCTCGAGGGCCTCTCAGGCCTCCTCTTGGAGCCTTGTTGGGCCCTCTTGAAGCGTTTGGAGGCCTTCTCGGCCAATCTTGGTATCGGCTTGTAGGCCTTTCGACCGTCTTGGTGCGAGCTTGGTTGTCGTGGGGCAGTTTGGGGTTGTTTGGGCAGTCTTGTGGCGTTCATGTTTACCGCGCGTTTTTGTTTGCCTTGTTGTTGTCTATGTTGTTTGTTTGTTGTTTGTTTGTTGTCGGACTGTGTTGACCCCCCTTCGGCCAGATCTTCGTTTCAGCCAGAGCCTGTTCCAACAGTAATTTGAATTCCAAAAATGTCCAAACTCGGCTCCAGAGAGGGAGGACGGTTTCCGGATGCGTGCGGGGAGGGGATTGGCTCGGCCCTAGAAAGCATTACCAATTTTTCACCAGACAGCACAGGAGCATTCTAGTACGCTCCAAATGCACGGTGGCGGAGACTCTTGGGCGCATACGCCAGCGCATCAGGATACACGTGCGCAGTAACAAATCAAGTCATCAACGCAAAGAATTGAGCAACTGCACCCCATCAAATTACGCGAAATGGCGACCTAAATGATTGTCCGAGTAATGAAGCCGAACGGTCGTACAGTATCCTTGGGCGCGTGGCTGAAAGTGCGGCTGCGCAGTGCGAAAATTGAGTCTTCATTCTGAGCGGTAGGTATCGTGGGTTCCCTGAATTCAATACCAACGTGTTTCAACGCCACTGTGTAGAGCACGGTGTCCTCTGTTTGCTTGCACGGTGGTTTACCAAAGCTGCGGCATAGGAAGGTCTCCTGCCGTTGATGCCAGCTCAATGCTGGTTCTCCTGTACAGCTTTGCAGCGCGTGGACACGCCAAGGTCAATTATGAGCTGGCTTGTTCAGAATGCGCACACGCCGCGAATTGGTGGTCGTCCGCGAGATTGGTATCCCCAGGCCTCCATCGGGTGCCCAACATGGCGCTGCCTTCCTAGAAGTGCAACTCTTCCACCAGAACCCCCCCCCCCGCTGCTTGACGATGCTCATGTCGGGGAAGGTCAAGGAGGAGGTAGGGCATCGGGAGGAAAAGATGACGGGGAGGAGGAAGACAGCGAGGGGAAGGAGGAGGAGGAGGGGCAGCATGAGGAGAAGAGGATAGGAAGGAGAAGGAGGGGACGAGGAGGAGGGGGTTAGGAGTGGGAGGAGAACGAGCACGAGGAGGAAGGGCGTGAGAGTGGGAGCAGGTCCAGGCGCAGGGTCCAGCACCATGCCCTCCATCTTCGTTTTATTCCCTACATCGGCTCTGCCTAGAAGGGTTCTTACTC